GCGTTGGACTACGTCGCTCGTCCACCGGTGCATCTACCGGTGCGACACAATGTGATTTCGTCAATTTCCAGTCGTTTCCTCGGGCGAGCAAACGGTATCGTTCGAGCCTTGGCCTCGTCTCACCAGCAACCCTTGCGAGTCAACTTGAAGACGCGCGATGACGATCGCTCTTTCGGACGCATTGTTGTCGGTAGTCTGGCCGATAAGAGAAGAGCGGCAAGCGGGGAAATGGCACGCGGTGGTATGGCGGTGAGTCGCCCGAGAAACAGGAAGCGCCGCGATCAACTACGCTGGAATGTAAATGGGGAATCGAGCGAGACCCGAACAAAAGAAGAAGAGTCAGCCGCGAGAAACGCGTTGCCAGCGAGGTAAAGGACCTCCTAAGGAAACGCTGTGTGTTAAACGCTGCGTTCGAAACGAAGATCCGCACAAACTCGTCCTCTCCCTTTCTCGAAAAGCTGATCGACAGTGCTGCTTTGTTGCTGTCTGAAAGAACGAAAGAAGAGAAATGTTAATTGCCTTTGCTTTCACCCGAGAATTCTTCTTCTCGCGTTTTAACCTTCCGACTCTATCGCCTGACTATGTTTCCATTTTAATCCGCCATTATGTTTCACGAACGCGGGAATAAAGACGTCCGGAATCATCTTAAATATATACGTACGTGTATTTATATCTGACTTCATTTATCTCACGTTATACTCCCAATGCATACCCAATCCTACCTTCTTATCTGACCGAGTATCTTGAAATTATACCATAGCCACGCTAATGATAATCTTCTCTCTCTCTCTCTCTCTCTCTGTATATACACACATACATACATACTTTCTTCCTCTTCTTCTTCTTCCCCTCGTGCCTCGTTATTCTCCTCGAATTAATTAGATCTCACTTGTTAGTTTTGCCACGCGCGTCTACACGCATCCTTCCTCGTCCCTTCTTTCTTCTCTCTTCAGCAACGCGCACAATTTTCCCTCGCCGAAGGAACAGGCAATCAACCTATCGCGAAATATAATAAACGTCGCTCGGTTTTATCTCGTTTTCACTCTTGCTCGAATTTCGTTCGATAATTCATGGCATTTTACTGACGCGAAGATAAATTTCTGAACATTTTTCAAGGGCTGCCGCGTTTACATGCCTTCGTCCACTCGCAAGATGGAAGAGCGTGCGAGTACAAATGGGATTCTGGTGAAATTTCCAGAACGCCATCATCGACGATGAATCAAATTCTTCAAAGCTTCTTCTTCTCGCGCCGAATGCCACTTCGGGGCAAAAAGAGCACACGCGTAAATACGCGTGTACCTGTCGATATACACTTGCGTGTACGTGATGCAATTAATCGTTCAAGTCAAAAATATTACGCAACAATTTTCGGTCAACAATTCTGCCGCGAGTGTCGCACTCGTCGCGTTGGTTATTCAGAGCCTTGAATCGGAGATCTCAGAGGTTACGGCGTAAACGTTCGAGAAATTTTCGATCGATCATGGTATTTACTACAAAGATGGTTTGCAGTTCGGGTAAGTAGACGCGAGAAAATCAAACGTTGTTTTGCCTCCCGTTTCTTTCTTCGAAACAACGTTAAAACGTGGTAGAACAATTTCGTCAAAATGGAAGCCGCTGCGACGAAGAAAGTTAAATTCTAACCTCTTCAATCTTTAATCGATAGAAACAAAGTTCGTTTGTTCGTTTCGTTTCCAGTGCTCAGGCAAGCGGTGAAACAGCTGTTTTTAGTCGAACATCTCGTTAAACAGGTAAGCAAATTCTATCTCATTCCTTGCGGTGCCTTGCGAAACCTAACCTCGAAATAAAATCTCCTTTTCTCTTCGGTTCTTCTTTTCTTAGCAATGTTACGGTCAGTTGCGAGCAGGGTCCTATTTGTCGGACCTGATAACGCAGAGGTTTTACAGTACGAAGAAAATATTTAGCAGGGATAAGCCTCATTGCAACGTTGGTACGATCGGGCACGTCGATCATGGAAAAACTACTCTCACAGCGGCAATTACCAAAGGTACGTACGTATATAGGTTTGCCACCTGTGTTACGTTCCATTTCATCGTTTTGTCTCTTGCTTTCAGTCCTTTCGGAGATGGAACTTGCCACACTGAAACAATATGCCGAGATCGACAACGCACCGGAGGAAAGAGCACGCGGTATAACTATCAACGTTGCACACGTTGAATATCAAACGAGCAATCGCCATTACGGTCACACCGATTGTCCGGGGCATGCTGATTACATCAAAAACATGATCACCGGTACCTCGCAAATGGACGGAGCTGTACTTGTTGTTGCCGCTACGGATGGTACCATGCCGCAAACTAGAGAGCATCTACTTCTTGCCAAACAGATCGGTATCTCTCACATTGTTATCTTCATCAACAAGGTAACGTTACGTTTAGTTTAGTCCATGTATATGGAAAAATCTCCAAAGACTCTCCCTCTGTCTCTCTCGTCAAGAACTCGTCGCGTCACGTTCATTTTTTTTTTCACAGGTCGACATCGCGGACGACGAAATGGTCGATTTAGTAGAGATGGAGATGAGAGAGTTGTTAACTCAAATGGGTTACGACGGAGCAAACATACCCATCGTGAAAGGCAGTGCCCTTTGTGCGCTGGATGGTACCAAGCCAGAGATAGGGCGAGATGCTATATTAAAACTGTTGGAAATTGTGGATTCTTATATTCCCACTCCTGTCAGAGAATTGGACAAACCGTTTTGTTTGCCGGTAGAGAACGTTTATTCGGTGATGGGTAGGGGGACGGTAGTCAGCGGCAGATTGGAACGTGGAAAGATAAAGAAGGGCATGGAATGCGAATTGATCGGTTACAACAAAGTAATAAAGACGACGATAACGGGAATAGAGATGTTTCACAAAACGCTGGAGGAAGCTGAGGCAGGAGACCAGATGGGTGCTTTGCTCAGAGGTTTGAAAAGAGAAGACATTAGAAGGGGCATGATAATGTGTAAACCAGGAAGCCTGAAAGCCTACGATCATTTGGAATGTCAAGTATACATGTTGACAACGGACGAGGGAGGTAGAACTAAGCCTATGAACCACATGATGAACAGTCAAATGTTCTCGAAAACGTGGGATTGCCAAGCTCAGGTAAACCTGCAAGGAAAGGACTTGGTCATGCCTGGTGAAGATACCACGTAAGTTTATCTTAAATTATCCTCAAATTCAGACGGAAAAAGTCGAGTCGTGTCAGTTGATCGGTTCAACGTGAGTATGGATTTTTGTTTTCAGTATTATATTAAAATTAATAAGGCCGATGGTGTGCGAAAAGGGTCAACGATTTACGATAAGAGATAGTTTCAAGACCATAGCAACCGGAGTAATTGCCAATACTCTGCCGAATCTGAACGAAACGGAACGTTTAGAGCTTATCGAAGGTAAAAAGAAATTAAAGAAGCGACAGGCGCAAGCGGAATTGTAATTATTTACTGTATTTATCACGTTTTAACTCGATAAAGTCAAGTAGAATCGAATTTAACAAATACACATACGCGCGCGTGTGCGCGCGCGCACCGATGCATATATAAAATATTCATAAAACATACCTTTTATGCGCATTATACCGTAGCAATTATTCATAACATTATTGCTCCTGTTACTGTTGTATATATGCATTTATATAAATGTACGATCAGTCGATCTTATCAAAGATATTCCTGTTTTCAAACACGTAGGAAATTAATGAATAAATAAATTGTTTTTCTATACGGTGTATTTTAATATTTCATACGATTTTACGTGAATTTCGCGACGATCAGTTCTCATCGTCGATAGAATGTGTAATTTTTTTCAAAGCGATTTGAAAATGTTTCAACCTTGAAAAAAAACAGTTCAACGATGATTTATTGAGGTTCGATACAAGTCAACGGTACAAGTTTTTTTTTCAAACAGCAGATGGAACACCGATATATACTTTTCGTATACTCCTCTCATTTCTGTTATTTTTACAACCGCAGTTGTGTTGTGGTGTTTGCGCGTTACTCGATGCGTTCAGGTGCGTTCAGGTTGTCCATTAGCGATAGAACAGAGGAATTGGGGTAAAGGAAACGTATGATGCAACGTTTTGCTTGCTCTTCCATAACCAAACGAACGTGTTCGTATAGAAAAGAAAAACACTGTTTATATAATTTAAATTGAACAAATCGTACATTCATTTTCGCTAATAGAAAATAGTAAACAGTCCTTGTATCATGGACAAGACGCAACTGACTACAAACCGTGCTCCGCTCCGAACGTTATTTCAAAATACATACACTGCCGTGTGAATATCGAAGATTACTCGTAAAAACGACTGCTGCAGCACATCTAATGCTTCCTTTCTCGCGTTGGTTTATCGCCGGATGATCGTGTGTGTAGGTGTGTGTATGTAGATATCTCTGTGTGTAAGGTAGCAGCGTAAAGATTACGTGTCATTTATTGGTAAAGATTGGACTACTTTGAGAATTTCTCAAAATTTCACGTATGTAGTGTACACATGAATGCGTACGCGCGTGGTGAGCACATGCAGACGCGTGTGTAAACAGTTGCTTTCTAATATTAGCGTATCGATCGTATCGAAAGATTCTTTCTCACAGAATTAATTTCTCTCGCGTTAGGGAACAACACGTCCATTCATTCCGGTACAGAGGACGACTCGCGTACAATGTTTCGGTATACACGATGATGGTTATACAAAATTAGCAAGAACAATCCGACAGCTTTGAGACCACACTGTACAATGAAGCAGATCGATAATTCGTCGTTTATCAACAAGTTATGCATTCGTTACATTAAATACATCGTTTCACACAACATACTCACGCATACCAGAGTATCGATATCGATCACGCATACCAATATCGATTATAATATATGTAAGTAAAGGAAAGAACGAGTTGAATCTACCATGCGTAAAATATCAACGGGACATAACAGTGTGTATATTGGCTAATGCGTACGACAAAGATGATGCTGCGACCAACAAAGATCGGTTCACTTTTCTCAAATTCGACGGTATTATCACTCGGTACGAAATTAGACAAATCGTTAAGCCCGATCAATTCTCACGCACGTAGATCTTGTGATATGCGCGGAAACGTAACGCTCAATTCCTGATATCGTTCAACTTCCAAGACAAAACTCGAGAAACGCCAAGCCGTCGAAGTATCTTTGCCACCCCGTTTGCCAGTTACATACGAAACGGAAGTATCCTTGTACGTTATTAATTCTATTCAAGAAAGAATCTCTGATTTATGGAGAGGCACAGGCACGTGCACGCAACGTACTCGATACGCACGTGTACGTATACGGTTTGTCCTCTCTGTTCGCATCGTACACGCGACGTGGCAAACTAAAGATCTTCGTCGTCCTCTGGTAACGCTGTCTCCTGCGCTTCCTTCAGATCCTTCTCTATCTGTTGTTGCCACTGTGGATCCATTGTAACCTCTGGCGGAAGGAGAGCTGGCATTGCAACAAATTCGAGATTTGGATCGCCGATCAGTTTGCGCGCCAACCAGAGGAAAGGTTTCTCAAAATTGTAGTTGCTCTTTGCACTGATGTCGTAGTACTGGAAGAAACACACAGGGGGAGGAGATTATCAGGTTTGCAAGATGTTGTCTGTACGAAGAAAAAGAAGAAAAAAAAAA